ATTGTACTATAAGTACTTTCCTATCATAAACTTTGGCAGTGAATTCTGCAGACTTTTAACCCTATGAGAAATTTAACTGAAAATCGACTCACTATGCTCCGATGGTTCAAAAAATATTGTAGAAATATGATAAGACTCCTCTTATTGATGAGTTTGTAATTTTTTTATTATATTTTGATCAATAACTGTCTTTAAAGCCCATGAATGATGATTATTTTTTTAGAACTTTGTTCATAAAACACTGGCGTTTCGATATGACCTTTTTTCAACAGTTTATCACTGATTTTTCTGGATTATTTTCGAGATCAAAGTGAAATTTTCTTTGGGTTATTGCTGATTACCATAAGAGTATATGCAAATTTTAAGTCACTACAATTTTTCAAAAAATCCATCAATTGATTTAAAATTCTACAGGTAGCGTTTTAATAGTAATGGAAATCTATAATAACAAATTCATCATGTTAGCATTGTTTAAGTATATAGCTTATACATCCTTAACAAGTGACTGATATCGACAAAATGAGATGAATTTTTCTCTTCTAATTTCAGACTGCATGATTTTCCTCTTCTTATGTTTTACTTCTAGAGTAGAATGTTTGATCTTACCATTTTTACTTTCGGTAGTTTAAGTTTCTAAGATATAAACTTTTTTATAACATCTAATTCTTCTTACGTCAGCAGCGAAGAAGTAGGTGTAACGATTGTGTGCGGGCAAAGATCAGAGGGTGGAACAAATTCTTCTTTTGTAACGGGACAATCGTTAAATTGGCGTGATAATTATATCACATAAAGTTCTTTCGATTTGAGCAACGAATGCTGGTTCGAAGGAAATGTACAAGAATTTCTTTTAATTTCCTTTCTTTCGCAGATTGTATTATTAGCTTAAATATGATTATAGTTGAATTTTTTCCAAATTGCGGATATTTGATCCTCTTTAATGTTGCACTAGCGCGCAACAGATTCCCGAGTATTAGATACCTTAATCATGTGCCGTGTGGATTGTACATCGCGCTGAAAGTTAAGAATCAGAAGAAGTGACTTTGGAAAGTCATGCAAGAATATTTTGCCGGAGGAAGTTCTATCGTAATTTCTCATTCACGTTGCCCGCTTACATCCAATTTATCCACATTGAAAAAGAATTTATTACAACAATCTTTCTTTAGTTGTGTTGAACATTAAAAAGAAGAACGTCTTTTCACTTCTACTTAGTTCAATATTACTTGCAAATTGTTTTAAAACCTTTTATATTTTCACGAATCTGAGAATTAGCACCTTAAAGTTTACTGAATGTCCAAAGGAATTCTTGAAAGTTTCATTTCATTCGATGCTTCTAATAACATTTTGTTTAACAATTTTATTGTTTTATGAAAAATTGATTATCAGTGTTTTTTTCTGATTTTAATGCAAGGCATTCCATATGGCGATCGTTTCGAGGAAAGAATTTGTTCTCCGGGGCTTCGTAATCCTCTGTTTGTCGAGTTGTGTCTCAGGTATGTACAAATCAGTTATTCCATCGCTCGTCAAGCATTGTGGTATCTATTAAAATAAAACGTTAACAACTTTCAACAATAAATATTTAATGACACTGTAGCAGTTTAATTCGATCAAAAACGTAAGTACCTTTGTATAACTATTGTTCTCCAAACGTGCAAACGGACCGATCATATAACACGGAGATACAATTTATCCAGAAAAAATAATCGCATTTAACGAATATTTTTTAAAGGCAATGAGTATTTGTGCGAAAATTCTAAAACTAAGGCAACAGAATATTGAAACAAATTCTATCAGAATATACAATTAAATGGCAAAAGCTGTTTTTATGCCGATACTTTAAATTGGTTCAAAAATGTCACACGACAGAATTAATAAAACATTTTCTCTATAAGAAGTGTAATAATAAACTGTCAATTACGTATCTGACACTTCACCTCGTTGTTAAATATCATGCTGAGGAAAAGTGAGCCTAGTCTCACTGCAAACATAATAAAGAAAAAAATTAAGTTATAAAATATTTGGGAAAACAACTAAGTTTGCTTTATTTATCTTTACAATTCGATACGAGGCGATTCCTTTGTTTATTTTTTCTGAATAATGAACAGGTAAATTAATTAAGTCTCACTGCAAACATAATTTAAAATATTTTTGAGTATTTTTGAGTCTAATTCATTTATAATTTGATTATCTTTATAATTTGATGGCAGTCAATTATCTTGTTTTTTTTTTTCAGAATTATGTGTCAAGACTACGCAATTTTAATTACATACTTGATACTCGATTTTGTTGTATTAAACGTAATAAGCAGGTAAATGAAACCTAATAAAATAACAATCCAATACGTTATTGAGTTAGGATAATAAAAATGTTAAAACATAATGAACTCTGTTTCATTTATCTTTGTAACTTCATAGAAGGCAATTATTGTCCTCCCTGAATTATATGGTAGGTGTTATACAATTCAGGGAAGATTTCTATACATGGGCGTTCGCACACGGCGTCGTATCCTATACACGATGTATAATAATAATCTTAGGTGGGCGACTCAATCTCATTAGGATTTCCTAAATTAAAGTTGAAACAACCTGGCTGCACATCTACTTGCGCGTTCTAGGTTAATTAAAAATTCAACAGCTCGTACAAGTGGTCCTTTTTACGTAAATGAAAAGAATCTACGAATTTCAATTGAAAGCGATAAAGAATATTTTTGATAGAATTTTTTCTCGTCATTTAAACTACATTTATATGTATAGGACGATATTATTCTATCGGAACGGTGCTGCAGATCGCAAACAGTGAACGAGAGGATGTTTAAAATTCATTTTCAGTGTGTAGATATTTAACAAATACGAAAGGTCAGTTTTACGATGCAAGGAGGCCAGTTATTAAACTCGGGATACTAATTTGTGATATTCTTTTAATATTTCCGCTTACGTTAAAATTTTGAATATTTGCAAACACGTGAATTTCTTCGAGAGAAATTATTATTCCTTGCATCCTGCATGATAGATATTATGTCATATAACTTGGAATGAAGAATATTAAGCTAGAAAGCTAATTTTCATTTCGTTCACGATTCGATCTCAGTCTCAGAATAAAACTGGGTGCTGAGTTAATTGAATCATCGATGGACTAATCACAAAAATTTGAATGAACGTTGAATTGACCATTATACGTGTCTCACGTTCGTAATAATACGTGTCTCGAGTATACTTAGATACCTGCAGAAAGAAAAACAATTTCCATATCGAATTGCATCGGTCAACTGACAATGGCAAATTGATTTTCTGATTTCAGCCTCCGTTTCTTTGCTTCCATTCTGTTTCAAAGACGTCTTTGTATCGAAGACGACATTTCCCTTTTTATTCTCTCTAGAATCCGGAATATCATCCGTACGTGTGAAGCATTTTCGCCGGTTCACAGATGTGATGATTATCCGAGAAATCTTTCATGTCGTATCTTCAGTAAAAATAAACATTTTACAAATAATAAATGGGGGGGGGGGACGAAAGAATGTAATCATGATTCATGTTTGCCTGAGAAGGACTCCTGATTTATGAACTACTTACAATTAGGGTTAATTATATTTGACTTTATATCATGTATAAATAGGAATGGAAAAAATGAGAGACAGTTGTTTAAAAATTGCCAGAATGTTAAAGTGTCGAGA